AATTATTTACTAATCTTTTTAATCTTTTACCAATATTTTATATCAAACATAATCAGCATAAAGTCGCACAACTATTAACCACAATCATATTCTTGATTCAATGAAGCATGATTACAAACTATTTTCGTCACCCTGTTTTTTTTTTACTGACTATATAGAATGAATGAAATTACATCATCATTTACTACTTATCAATATAACCAATAGTAGTATAGTACGATATTATTTATTACAAGATTTTGGAAGAATGCATAAGATATATGCGTAAGGAGAAGTTTGATTACGTAGAATTTCAGGAAAGCAGATTTGTTATTGTTCGATGATCATATTAGCAATTTTTATATGATTAAATGTTTTACACAAAAACATTCTTCCGATTTAGGTATGAATAAAATATATAAATATTATATACATAGATTGTATATTATACGTATTTAAAAGTTACAAATAAAAAGCCGAATTATGTGTTAAGACCGAAACAGATGACAATACTTTTGATACCCTCCGTACGCATGTGCTTAGAGTATGTATGTAGGTCGATACATACGTACGTTAAAGGTAACTTTCTTGATTCAGTTTAGAAAGTTTAATTATGTACAGTACCTGGATATGTAGTGCCTCTATTAAAAACAATCATTTTATTATATAAAAAAAAATCGAGATCTGCGCGTTTTTTTAATTTCTAAGATCTTTGATCGCTCCTTGCCACAAGTTACAAATTAGGAAATTTAATATAATTTGAGACCCGTACACAACCTAGTTTGGAGAAGATTGTCAAATTGTTTCTGGAATGAATGCATATAATTTTGAGTATACGTATCGAGATACTATCGCTATTCCCGTATTCAATTAGTGTAACTTTAAAAAAAAATGCGGGGTTTATAAAAAAAACCGCGTTTTAATGTTAATCATATTAAATCTATTTGATATATCAAAGCTATAAATTCAATTTGTTTTTAGAGGAACAATATGACTTTAATAAAAATCTGGTAATTCATGCTCGGACTACTTACAAATCAAAAATGCATATAGCAATTGTTTTTCCTAATGAAAGTGCTTTTTGTTAACATGCGTACATACAACAATATGATTAAATAATAACGGTTATGATATACTCTAAGAAATCCTGTCATGACATAAAGATATACGCGCACTTTGTCAACTCAACTCGGTGCCGGACCGGATTGTAATTATCACAGAGTTACATGCATGATTAGTTTATTTGAATTAACCTCCGAAGCCCTTGCTTGATTTATGTACAAAAAATGCTCGTATTACTATTTGACTATTTGAGTCTATGTCCCAGACGAACAGGTAAAGTTAAAAATCTCGTTTGACGTTTACTCGATTATAATAATCTGAATAAATTGCAAATCATTTATTAATTTACGAAATATTAGAACCTATACGTAGGTAAAAAAAACTGCAGTTAAAGCTGAAATTTGATGGATTTGGTCAGAGAAACAAAGGATCCATGTAGCATCAAATTAATATATAAGTCAACAATGATCATTATAGTGCTATTGTGTAATAATGCATTTCCGCGTTTTTAACATATTAATGATTATTGTAATTATTAAAAAGTATCATATCGACATTCAATGGCTGACAATTTTGTTACGATTAATTAATGGATTATACGCATATATATGAGTAATTTTATCTTTTTTTTTTTTTTTGATGGGATTATTAAATAATTTGATATATTTTTCATTTTGCTTGGCCTAACGATGACGCTATATTAATTTATATTAAAGATGCTGTACA